CCCGCGGGCAGCGGACAGGGTTATCCGCTGCCCACGCGCTCCGCGGCTTGGCTCTGCTTTGCCCCCCCGTCTCCCTGGTCTGCAGTTTCAGCAGCGGCTGAATCTGGACGCCAGTTCCGACTTACATACAGATTCAACTTAAGAACAAACCTACAGTCCCTATCTTGTACGTAATCCGGGGACTGCCTGTACTTCAAGAAAGAACAGATCTTTGCAAAAGTATATGGGGGTAGGGTAAGGCGGGAGAAAGGATTGGGTGAGATAAGGAAAGGCAGAGCAGAGACAACAAGGTTTAACAAAACAGCTTCTTGTAAACCTGTGAGAAATAAAGAGGAGGTCACAATTTTAACAAGCTTAGTGAAAGTTTCAACAATGCTCAAGCTATGCTGTTATCTTAGTCAAGCCTTGAAGCCCAGCACAGGAAAATAAGACTTTGTCCTAATACCTTGTTGCTTGAGTCTTCAGAGAAACTACTGCCTTTAAAATAAGGTAAATTCCTGTAGGATGTTGTACATTATGCCTTCATTAAGCAAATTTGTTCTTATATTGGACTAAGTGCCCATAAAATATTCTGAGGTCAACCAGTGTAGAAAAACCTAGGACTTCATTTCTTGTTTGCTATGTGAAACTGAGTTATCTTTGATCCCAGGAATAAATGTGCTTTTCTTATCTGAAGATCCTCAAAAGTAACTTGAATGGATTCTTCATTTATAGTGTGAAACTCAATATTGTTTCACTAGCAGAGCCACAGGAATTGAGCTTGGGATTCACTAAGGAATGCCTTGAAAAGTGAGACATAGTCCTCTTACCGAGAACCACATTCTAAAATCTGATAGCAGTTTGGTGCCAATGCTTCAATGAAAAGGGAGAATGTATTTGAATTGACCACCACAAGTTCCATTGCTTCAACAACCTTTCACCTGCATCTTGTGTACTCCATCATCTATCTCATATTTGGGAGTGGAGGCCAGGAATAAATTATAAATTATTAAACAGTTCCTGATTTCATGGTCCTAAAAAGCAAAACCAGCCCTAACCTCCAGACAAAAGTGGGTGGATAAACCAGTGGAAGAAGAAGATCATTTTTATTATATTGAAAACAAATACACTTGAGTAGTACTTCTGTGATCTTCTGGTATTCCATCACAGAAACTGTTTCCAGAGCTTATAGTGTAATAGTTATTGCTGCTACTGCCAATTTTATTATTGTTAAAAAAACAAATGTTTTTAACACAGCCTTTACTTACTATTTTCATATTTCAAAATTAGACATACTGCAATCCCTTAGGCTTTTCATAACTGTGTATCTTGTATATTTTTAGATTAATATATGTGTTTATTACTTTCTTCCTGTGTCATCCAAATACTTGTCTTGTAGTTATTCTGTGTTGTGAACTGACATCAGATCATTATAGCAAGTAAGGTCACTTTGAAGATGCCTCCTTGCCCATGCTAACTGTTAAGGTGCATACTCTGTCCTCATCTAGAGCAGAGACACTGTTGGTATGAGGGTAAGAGTTTGGCCCAAATATTCTATTACCATTTTTTATTTACTTGAGAGAATCATTTTTCCCTTTTATGGTTTTAAGTGTTTATCTGTATAGTACCTGGGAGCTTTCTTCAATTTAATATGCAGCATTTATTTATTTTCAATGTAAGGTGCACTTGGAGTATTATGGTTCCTCTTCTGGATCTGGCTGGTGAGTGATACTCCAGAAACTCACAGTAGAATCTCTCATACTGAAAGGGAGTATATTCTCTCTTCCCTTAAAGATCAGGTATGTAGTTTTAATACAACTTCTCTTTTACTTAAATAAGAGCAGGAGCTATTGTGAGACAATGTTTAGAATTTTTAAAAACTCTTCCTTTGACCTGTTGGCATATGATAAATGATTTGTGTGCTTACAGGAACACTTACATAATTCAGAACATGAATGCACTATAATGATTAATGCTTGCGTGTCTTGTAGTTATATATTGAGAGTTTATGGTGTTCTCAGTGCTTAAGATCTCAGATTCATTCACATGTATTTGAGGAGTGACTTTAAGTCTCTAATTGTTGATAATGGTAAGGAGGGATTTGTTACAGAAGGAAAAGCATTCAGAAAAAAAATCTGATTCCAAAATTATTTGAAATCATTGTTAGTTTGCAACATACCAACAGAGTAACATTTTTGTTTTCCCTATGTTTTTAATGCTGCTTCAATGAAAGCTGAACATACACACAAATAAATTTTGCCTACATAAAAAAGTAATTGAGAATAAACTCACTTTTATATTATGACTTCAGTTGCAGTGGTTTTTTTAAATAAAAAGGCAAAAAATATAACTTTAATTGACAACATAATAGACTTCTGACTTTCCACTTGCTTCCTCATTTGTCAGGTTTTGTTTAGCTCAGTTAATAAAATTAGCAATAAAAATCATGCATTTAAGGGTTCAGACTAACTTTTGAATGTGTTCTTCAGAATCCAAAATCAGATTTAGGTACGATTCAAAATATCTAGAAGAAATATTCCTATGAGTTGTCCTGATGATTCTTTTCCTTTTTCCTAGCTTTCTTCTCAGAAGTCTGTACCTTGGGTACCCATACTGAAATCCTTTCCTCTCTGGGCTATTGTTGCAGCACACTTTTCTTATAATTGGACTTTCTACACTCTTCTCACACTATTGCCTACTTACATGGAGGAGATCTTGCGGTTTGATGCAAAAGAGGTGAGATAAATGAAAATATTCTAATCCATTTCCTGTTACAGTTCATAATTTATGGCATGTCTACACAGCAGGGCTAAAGCCGAAATAAGCTATGCAACTTGAGCTATGTCACTTATGTAGCTTAAGTTGAAATAGCTTATTTTGGCTTTTGTGCTGTCTACACAGCAGAAAGTCCGAGTTAGAGACCTCTTCCTCTGACTTCCCTTATTCCTCATAAAATGAGGGTTACAGATGTCAGAATAAGAAGTCCTTCTTCTCGGCATCATTTCAACATTATGTCAAAATAACTGCTTGCTGTGTAGATGCGGAGTGTGTTATTTCGGAATAACAGTTATTCCAAAATACTGCTTCTGTATAGACATAGCCTCAGTTTTCTTCTGTGTAGTAGAGTGGTGATATGGTCTAATGTTTAGAATAGGGATGTTAAGACACATTTAATTAGCTAAGCAAGTAGACGATTCTATTAGTCGATAGGGTGATGTTCACTACTCCCACTGTGGTTCTGCAATTTGAATGTAGTAGGAGCTAGGCATGCAGGCAGTCAGGCTCCTACTACATTTAAAATGCAGGGCTGCAGCAGGGTTAGCTTTCAGGGGTGGCGCAAGCAGGGACTGAGCAATCCTGGTTCGTGCCAGCTCCGGGACCAGCTGGCTTTTACTACACTTAAAAGGCAGAGCTGCAGCGGGGGACCTGGCGCTAACTCGGGCTGCTTCGGTTCTGGCTCACGTCAGCTCTGGGACCGCTGCACCTCTGCCTTTTAAATATAGTAAGAGCCACCTGGCTATTACTATATTTATAAGGCAAGGCCACAGCAGGAAAATCAGCAGTCCCAGCTCGAGCTGGGTCCCCGACTGTTGCGCCTCTGCTTTTTAAATGTAGTAAGAGCATCTGCCCCTCCCCCCCTGCCTGTGCCTCATGGGAGACAGTGATGGGGGGAACCAAAGCCTG